AAGACTAAGCCAATCATGTCATTCGGGTAATAGTTTATTAACTCTGTCCCTTTCTCTGTCAGGTACAGCTCTAGTTTAGTAAGCAACACTGTATCCTTTTGTCACATACAGTACCACTGCTGTTACCAGTAGGGCAATTGAGATTGAGAAAGATTAAAAGTCACCTAGCTATTACATTGTAGAGTTAGGTTATGATTTGTAACCTATCTGGTTTAAAGTCTTCACCTTACTAGTCTCCATAACAGCAATTCGTCCAGTGTGGTCCATGAGGCCCTGGGAGTCTCCCCTGAAATGGCAGACTATTTTCACAGTAACACATACTATATTTGCCATTTCATTGTGTTGACATTTGCACTGATGGTACAAAAACAAAGACGAGTAAAACTGTTGGTATCTTAGTGTATAGTAGTTACTGTATTCACTGCCATGCACTTACAGTCTTTGAAGAAGCAAAAAAAAAAAAATTCTGTTAAATCTCAACCCTTAAATACATGTGGTTTTTCTCACATCACTGTGACAAAAAGGAAGATGCATAATCTACTTATATCACATATAGCATTTGATAGTTGTCTCAAAGAAAAGTGTGTATAAGATTAAACTGTGAGTTGAACAACCCACCTTTTTTCATGGAATACCATGAGAGATAAAGTATAGTTCAGCCTTGGGTATTTGGCGAGATTTTCCAAAAAATGACTGAAGTAAACTTAGCACTTTAAGGAAAACAAAGTATCTGTTGCCAACTGATAAAATATAGGTTTCAAGCAAAAATTAGAATTTTTGAAGACTTGTATCTGCCGCTGTGAGCTTGACAGATGCGACTCTTTTATATTATATAATGAACTATGTCAACATTTGAAAGATCTGCACAACTCAGTGAACCAATATTTTCCAAATGACTAATGCATGATATTACAAAATTATGCATGGGTAAAAGATACATTCAAAGTGAAAGATAGATTAACAGATTTCAATGTAACAATTAATCAAAAGTTCATTGCTAACAGTTTTGGATTCCACATTGCCACACTAAAACCTTTAAAAAAACTAAACTGTGAAATTTTGGTGTAGTCAAAAAAGGAAATCTATAATTACCCGAACTTAAGTTTCTTGAGGACCATGAACCTTCTCCAGGCTCAGGGAGAAAGCAATAGCACTTCTCTTTCCCTAAGATCCTCCAGAAAGGAAGGAGTTACAGGGGGAGAAGAAAAGATAATCCTTGGGGGAAGGGTAGAGACCTATTGTGTGATGATCACCAAGTATGTAACAATGGTTTATATAACTCTAATATACATAATCCTCACAAACTCCTAAATTGGCACTAATAAGGGAATAGAAGTTAAGTCAGCTAGCCACTGTCACACAGCTGTTAGAGCACTGGAGCTAGGATTTGAACCCAGATTTGTCTGTATGTAAAGCTGAATCTCTCCATAATAGTACTGAGACACAAGAGGCGGCTTCAAAATATTCTGGTACTCCTTCCTAGACCAGAGTTTCAAGGTTCTCTATCTTTTGTAGCATGATTCTGTATCCTCAGAGTGCCTGGCTTTTATTCAGGTGCCAGGAAGTGTCTGCCTGAATATGCTTCTCAAATTGTGTAATTAACTCATAATCCATCCATGACTGTTTCACCCATAATCCTCCTTGTATCAGTTGCTTTGCCTGCAAGAAAATTAATTAGAAATATTTGGCTTTATGGATGGTTTTCTCTCTCTGAACTCTAACATAAACTCAGTCTCAGGAATTACTCAGTTTCTACCACATTCGCCATTCTGACTGGGAACCACCGGCATTCAGGTATTTACCTGGAACAAGGCATTTTGTTCTGAGGGTTCTTCACTTAAAAGCAAGCACCGTAGCATAATGGGACTTCTTAACGTTCTCAGAATGTTTGGCACAGCTGTAAACACACATTGAGCAATCAATAACTATTACAGATAATGATGCCCTTAAGACCAGGACATTGTAGCTTTTCCATTCAAAGCGGGTAAAATATGTACTCTTACTGTGGTATACTTTTGGTTCCTTCAGCCATGTATCCTTAATTATAGATGTCAATTCCATGTGGTTTTCTCTTGAGTTCTAACTATTTTGTTGTACCCTAGCCCTTGCAACTGAACGCTATTTAGCATTCATCCATTTTCTCCAATGGTGTTCATTATAGCTATCTTAGTCCTCTTATTTCTGTGACAAAAATTGATTTTTTCCACTGATGTCTATGGTACATCTGGCAGCTTTCCATGTACTCAATTCTTATCTGATGTAGCCCAGAATGACTGCCTGAAGGGATGCCAAAAGCCTGATTTAGGTTCCAGATTTTTAGCTACTGTACTATCAGTCCATTTGTTCATTTCATTTTTATTTTCCCTTGTCATCCGTAGCATACAGTTGAGTGGCTTAAACATGTTTTGCATATATTCTAAGTTCTAAGAATTTGGGAATACTGTCCTGGGATTTTGACTTAATATTACCTTCCATTTATATAATGCTTCGTCATAAAATCTTCAGTGTTCCTGAAAAAGAAAAAGGAACATGTATTGAGTGCCTGCTAAAAGCAGGGATTTGTATGAGATTTTCTGTGTATTATCTTATTTTCACAACACACATACACAGGTGATATCCTTCCCAGTTTACTGATGAGGAAACTCAGGGGTCAAAGTAGTAGATACCTACCCAAGGTAACAGAAGCTGTGAAGTGGTACAGCTGGGATCTAAAACATGTCAGTTTAACCATAGACAGGCTCCCTGATCATCTATCTGCCACTGCCTGGATGACTGCATCCAGGGGTGATGACATCATTTTCACAGGGGTATTGAGAGCTAAAACTACAAAGTACCCAAAGTCTTATTTAAAATATAAATATATAGTATATATGCATATGTGTGTATACGTAATTGGTTGGGGAAACATTACAGAATACTCTTCTAACCTTTAAACAATGTACTCATTTTCTATAAACTAATATACAAACAATTGGTTGGTCCCTAAAAATAGATGTCAGGTCACAGAGATTGGCTAAGCAGGAATAGGAGCATCTTCAGAATAGAAGCCAGGGAACATTTTACTTCCCCAACACACTGTTGCACAGTTCACTTGTTCCAGGACCTTCCTACTTTGCTGTAAAACTCTGGCCCAGAGCAGCTCCTCTACATTAGTCACAAGTTTCCATTGATCAGGAGTGGCATGTGCCAGACCTACAGCAAAGTCATTTCAGGTTATTGTCTTCTGTTACAGCTTTCAATATGTAGTCAGTCCACTCGCCCAAATCTAGCAGGGAATCAGTTGCCTTGTAACACGGAAGCATCTAGAAATTCTTCTTAACAGTGTTCAGAGGACAATGTGAAACCCTGGGCCTTTTCCCAGAATTAGGGTGGTGGGAATGCTGTCCCGTTGACTAAGTCTGTTAGGTAAACAGACAGTTGGCAAGGTTCAGGAAGCTTCATTTGAGGATAGAATTTAGGGGGAGCTATTGGATTTACTGGCTTAATTAGTTAAGGTAACATTTATAGAAGAAATTGTCATTCTACAATTATTACCTTTTAACTTTTATTCCTAAACAGAAGGACAGCAACAAAATGTTACTTAATAAATACAATTTTTAACCAGATTGATAACTAGTAAAAGTTTTTAAGTTATTTTGCTCTGTGAATTAAACATATTTGTAACTGAAATTTACTACTGTTATTGGCTGAAATAAATAAAAGCATGAGATAATAAAGGATGACAAAGAGACAACTAACATCCAATTTAAGTTTATTTCTAAGTGCCATCTTTTTTAGAGAAAAGGCAAATTCAGAAAAGTTTAGAGAGGTACTGTTATGTTTCTGAACTTGCATAGGTGATAAAAAAAAACAGACTTTAGTATGAAAGAATTCCAGAATCAACAGGTTGTCAGCATCCATGTTTTTGAAGATTTGCTTAAGAACATGACTAAAAATGGAATGGGCAGTCTCTAATTATAAGCAGAAGGCTAGAAAATCATTTTGGCTGCATAATACAGTTTTGGTTCTAAAATCAGCACGTAAGAGGAAAATTCCTTAGGAGGATACAACGTTGAAAATCATTGTGTCATTTAATGTGAAATGCAGTAATTAATTTTTCCTCCTGTAATAAAAAGATCACTGTTTCATTGGTTTATAAAAATATATCTTTATCAGCAAATATGGCAAAATGTTAAGAATTGTTGAATATTGGTAAAAAATATATATATCCATTGTACAATTCTTTCAACTTTTGAGATTAAAAATTTTTTAAACAACAAATTATCTTTTAAACACTTAGTGATCACTAGACCTGCACTCTGTGGTGAGAAAATGAAAAATGTTAGAGACCTAGTAAGAGAAGCAGATTCACATTTCTATCTTTTTCTTCTGGCCAAATAGTCTTAGCGTGGAGTGTACAGAATGGTACTCACTGTTGGAAGCCTAGTGCATTGTCCAGTCTTACTGCAAGCCAGACAGGAAGGTTATAGAAAATAATGTTTCTGAATCAGTATTTTCTGAATCATATGAAATTGTAGTTTCAGCCAAGATGACATTAGGAATGAGAGATATGGGACCAAATTTTAACACTGTAAAAAATATTTGACTCTAATAGGAAACATGAGTAGAATTGTAATGATACTTGATTGAATTTTAAAAGATGCCTGTATAAGATCTTAAAATTAGGAAAAAAATAGACTTAGAAGACAGTAAATGTTATTGTGTGTGACACCTTAATAAAGGTGATTATAAAAATAAATCCTAAGCATCTAAAAAAAGAAGTGAAGCAAAACCACACCATTCTATTTTGGAGATACTTCAAAATAAATGACCTCATTTTTTATTTAAAAGAAGAATATAATATTATTTGAATGTATTTAGACAGAATATTTTAGTGCCTGCTACCACTTGAAGCCAGAGTTCAGTGTAAGCATTCTGACTATGAAGTGAAAAGCTAAGATAACTATATTTTGATATTCCTTTGACAATAAAATCATAACACTGTTCTTCTCCTTCTTTAGCCCCAGCATGAGACCAGACGTAAGCTCTCCTCCATCTAGCTCCTCAACAGCAACAACGGGACCACCTCCCAAACTCTGCCTGGTGTGCTCTGATGAAGCTTCAGGATGTCATTATGGAGTCTTAACTTGTGGAAGCTGTAAAGTTTTCTTCAAAAGAGCAGTGGAAGGTAGTGTGTGTTTTGAAGAGTTTTATTGTTCCTCTTCTTGGTTACCATTTCCCAAGTTGGATTTTGAAATTTCCATTATATGCAAAGCCTATGAAGGCTAAATAACAGTTAGGGGAGAGGAAGATGGCTCCTAGGTCCTCTGATGGACAGGAAGTTATTCAAACAACAACGCAAAAAGATGTAGAATAAAATAGAAAAGTATAAGTCGATGAGTTTGGCCAGGGAACATAAGGTAACACGATTAAGAAAGTGCTATCATATGAAATGATGGTGTTAAGTTTGGGCATACCATAATGTTCATGTATTAAAATTATGGGCTTTAACTTCCTATAAACTAATAGGTTTTAAAGTCACCACCTATACTGGTCTGGCAAAAATGAGTGACAGTGAGAACTGTGATAGGAAAAAAAACGCATTCATTTCATTTCTCATTCATTTTTTTTTTCTGTTAAGTCAGGGCACTGTGCTAAGTGGAATAAATACCATTAAGACCCCATCCTTGCCCTCTGGGAAGTCACAGTCCACTGAAGTGAAAGATGTGTTAACAGTGACATGGTACAGAGATTATAATATGGAGAGGGAGAGAGAAACTCGGCATGAGGAGGTCAGGAAAGGTATTTTAGTGAAGGCGATTTCACTATATAAATGTTGTAATAATACAAATCTTACTTTGCTATAGATTCAGACTGCTGACAGGGCAACAGCATTATCTCCTAAAGAAGGAGAAATTTATTCCATAGCAAACTTACTAGAAGAGAGTCTGAAATTTCCTAATATTACCAGTGACTCCTCTTGGAAAAAGTAGTCATATAATTTAGTTATTTCTAAAGCAGTTTGAAAGCAGCATGGCCTAAAGCTCTGATTATATTAATTTTTGTAGTATAGTTTGAAGTCTGGTAGAGTGATGCCTCCTGCTTTATATTTTTAAAGGAACATAATTATTCATTCACTGTATGAGGATTATTATTTGTCTCGTGTGTTTGCATATCCATGAGAGTTAGATGAGTCATTTTCTTTTGTTTTACTTTTTAGCAAACATATTTGCTAAAAAGTAAAACAAAGACTATGTTAGCAAATTATGAAATTACTCCTGTTAACGCCACAAAGATTATAAGGATGCCAGCTTTGGCCAGTGTAGTAGTCCCACCTATTGATTAGAGTCAAAGGTAAAGCCCAGCCCTACTTAGTGCAATGCACCTGATAAACTGGATGTTATTTAACACATACGCAAAAGACGGAACCCTCTCCATGTCATCACTTTACCTTATTCCTCGATTTCTTAACTGCTCAAGTATTTCCATGATATAAATGCAGTGATACGGACAGTCCTGACTTAATGACTTTTCAACTTTTATGATAGTGGGAAAGTGATATGCATTCAGTATGCTCCTTGACTTACAATGGGGTCGACTTCAGATAAACTGATTGTGAATTGAAAGTATCTTAAATCAAAGAATGCACTATTGACTTATAATGGGTTTATAAACAATTAAACAGTTAAAGATACATCTTAAAGAGCATCTATGCTATATATAATAAATATTGACACATTGATTTTTGAAGGTGAAATTCACAATGAAACCTTAAAAAATATGCTATTAAAAATGTTTACTTTCCTCCATTTGAACTAAAATTGTTCTTTAAAATGGTATAAATTCAGATGCTTATGGAGACCAACTATGTGTCATTTTGGCTAAATACAGTACAGTTGTGGGGAGGAGTGCACACATGCCCTACATAAAAGCATCCAAATGCAATCAGAACAGAAAACAAAGTCACCTCCCTTACAGAAGACCAGCGCAGGCCATATGCCTCTGTGCTTAATCCCTGCTTTTAAATTCCTAGACTTGATTTCAGGTAAAATTTAATTGAATATTAACTATACTATTAAAATGTTCGTTATTTATGTATTTCAGTAAAGTATGATGGTGAGATTACATGATTAATAAGAAAGGTTAAAATATAGAATAGGTTAAGTCAGTCTTTGCTCTGTTTCCTCCTTTATTTGGATTTTAATGTTCTCAAAGGCCCTTTAAAGCTCTAAAATTCTGCACTCCCTTGATAACCTAACTCAGCAATTCTTCTGTTTTTTTTCTATCAAGACACAATAGAAACATGCTTCTAAGCCCAGATATGTATTTTGGAGCACTTTCTTAAACAATTATAATGATGCAACTTGCATTATTTATATCATACACTTAGCACTCCATTCTTTTTTTTTTTTTTGAGACGGAGTTTCGCTCTTGTTACCCAGGCTGGAGTGCAATGGAGCAATCTCGGCTTACCGCAACCTCCGCCTCCTGGGTTCAGGCAATTCTCCTGCCTCAGCCTCCTAAGTAGCTGGGATTACAGGGACGCGCCACCATGCCCAGCTAATTTTTTGTATTTTTAGTAGAGACGGGGTTTCACCATGTTGACCAGGATGGTCTCGATCTCTTGACCTTGTGATCCACCCGCCTCGGCCTCCCAAAGTGCTGGGATTACAGGCATGAGCCACCACGCCCGGCCAGCATTCCATTCTTAATACCTGGTAGAATTATAGGTTATGCCCCAGACTTGGCATAGTATAATATGGTTATTAGCAAGATGTTGCACTTTATTCAGAGCTTTGTACTAGGCAGGAATGGGCTTTACTTTTGACTCTTAATTAATAGGTGGGACTACAACACTAGCCAAAGCTGGCATCCTTGTGGTCTCTGTGGAGTAACATGAGTAATGTTATAATTTACATCCCCCATAACAAGTGATCCAAGAGAGTATGTGACCAATGCAGAAGAACCATTGTCTATTCTTATGCAATTTCACCTGTAACATGCCATCACTTCTGCCATATTTGGCCACACAGACCAATCCTGGTAAAGGATGGAAAGGGACTACATAAGAGCATGCATACAAGGAGGCAGAATCACTGAGAGCCATCTTGGAGGCTGACTCCCACACCTAACATAAATAGAAAACCAGAATGACCTGCCAGTAATAGATTTTTAACCACAAAAATAAATACCGTATAAACAAAACAATGTCACAAAATTTTAGCTGACTTGAAGACTCTTCATCTTTCTATTAGTAAGAAAGACAATTTACCAAGTAGTAGAAGACATAGGAACTCCAAAATAAGATATCTTATTTACTTATCAGAAGGGTTGACAGGGAGATTGGCTGGGCACAGTGGCTCACACCTGTTATCCCAGCAATTTAGGAGGCCAAAAAGGGAGGATTCCTTGAGGCCTGGAGTTTGAAACCAGCCTGAACAATATAACATTGTCTCTACAGGAAAAAAAATAATTATCCAGGCATGGTGACCCATGCCTGTAGTCCCAGCTACTCAGGAAGCTAAAGCAGGAGATTCAGGCTGAAAGAAGCTACGACTCACCACTGTACTCCAGCCTAGGCAACAGAGCAAGAACCTGTCTAAAAATAAATAAATGAGTCAAGGAATGCATGAATGGATTGACAGGAAATGACTATTAGTTGTACGTGGCCATGTGTTGCAAAATAGTGAATACTAGTTAAAACTCCTCATTTTATACATAAGTAACAGGTAGACTTGCCCAGCTTCATGCTAATAACCACAAAGGGCTATCTTTAACTGATGAACATACAGTGCCTCTGATCCTATAGCTGAGATTCTTAGCTGTGCGCAAGACATACCTGGGATAAAGAAATCAATACTGTCATAATATGCACATCCTGACTTTTCAGTCGGATATAAACAAAACTTTGGAATTTTTTTTTCTTTTTTTTCTTCCATTAATTGTAGGACAATGATTTAGAGATATTCTTGTAGGGCATAACTTTTTTGTATTATAACTGCTTCAACTATGGATGTATCTGTTGATCCTACTTTTGCTTTATAGAAGATAGAATTATTGGGTTAGTGCTTCCATTTTGTGTCCAAGTAGGGAAGCTAGGAAACTTAGAGAGTACAAAGAGAAATTGAAACAGCTGGTACAGATAATTGGCATTGGAGAGCAGCTCTAAACAAAGGTAAATTATAGTCCAGTGGTCAATTTTGTGGCCTATCCTTTACAAAGAATTGAACCTGATACAGTTAACCATCTACCCCAAACTCTTATTTGTTTAAAACACAATCTATCAAACAGTTTAAAACATAATTTATCAAAAAAGTGGTTACCCTTTGTGGGTAGTGGGTGGAATTGGGCAGAAAGGGGGCTTGTTTGGAGACTGTTTTGTTTCTTGATCTGAGAGCTGATTACATAAACGTGCTTGGTTTGTAAAAATTTATTAAGTGGTTCACTTATGATTTGTGTACTTCTATATATGAGTACTGCAGTAAGGTTTTTTATTGAACAGTTTTCAGTTTGTTGAATAGAAAAACGGAGACTCTCTGTTGTTGACCTCTCAACCTCATAATGGTAATGTAGGCAGGAACACCTCCCTAATCAATACCTGTGGGCGCCTTGGTTATATTCCACCAGAAACAAAAACAGATAGAGGCTCTCCATTAAAAAAAAAATCCTTGAAGACCTGTGAAACGTTAATAGTACCTTTTATTCCATATAGGACAGCACAATTATTTGTGTGCTGGAAGGAATGATTGCATCATCGATAAAATTCGAAGAAAAAACTGCCCAGCATGCCGCTATCGAAAATGTCTCCAAGCTGGAATGAACCTGGAAGGTAACGTAAATACATGAAAACAATTGTTTGTCTCTGTAGCGTATAAAAATCTATCATTTTACTTTTGAGGGATACAAGTGAACAGATGTAATAATGTAGTCAGTTCAGTATATATGCTAGTATATTGACTAGCATCATATTATTGCCTGATAAAAATCAGAAATTTTTTCATGAATAAAAGTTTATCCACCAGTTCTTCTTATACACACTGAATTCAGTACAGCCAGACTATATACAAAGAAAGGAAATTATGTAATAATGAAAACTATCCCTAGGGTTGGAAATGTTTCTGTATCATAATATTTACATGTCCATTTTTCTTTTTGGCATTCTAAAGCACACCTTTTACTTGGAGATCTATGTTGTATTACAGATCTGCAAGAAAAGAAACCCTCAAGGAAGAATTGGATGGGTTTTGTTTTGGTTTTGAAGTAAAGAGGAAACCTGGGCTGGGTGCAGTGGCTCACGCCTATAATCCCAGCACTTTGAGAGGCCAAGGTGGGTGGATCACGAGGTCAAGAGATCCAGACCATCCTGGCCAACCCCGTCTCTGCTAAAAGTACAAAAATTAGCTGGGCGTGGTGGCACACGCCCATAGTCCCAGCTACTTGGGAGGCTGAGGCAGGAGAATCACTTGAACCCAGGAGGTAGAGATTGCAGTGAGCCGAGATTGTGCCATTGCACTCCAGTCTGGGCGACAGATCGAGGCTCTATCTTTAAAAGAAAAAAACAAAAACAAAACCCTGAAACTAGTTATAAGTTAAGAGTTTCATATCCACGTTTATGTAACAAGTTGTATAATTAACACTGATTCAGCATTAAAAAATTTTCAATGTTTGGAATTCCGTTCTGGTTGAAATGGCAAGTTCTGTGAAGGTAGTGGTGATCTGATAACACATATGCTTATTATTTATTGTGACAGTAGCACTTTTATTCAGCAAGTATGTACTGAGGCAAGTCACTAGATACAAAATGAATAAAATAGTCCCTGTATTCTAGTAGTTTGCCTACTAGCTAGGTTGCAAAGTCAGTCACAAAAGAGCATGGCCCACCATAGAGGGCATAGGGCCACAGGAACAAAAGGAAGGTCACCTAGTTCTGTCTTGGAAGTCAAGGAAGAAGTAACATTGAATTTTAAATCTATAAGCTGAGTAGGAATTAGGTAGATGAAAAGTAAGGGCAGAGACATGATCAGGTTTGTATTTTGCAGACAAATCTTACGTAGAGAGACCAATTAAATTAACAGCAGTCCTCCAGATAAGAGATGGCAGTACTGAGAATGGGAACCATGTGGTTCTTTTTATGATGATGATGATGATGATTTTTATGATGATTATTATTATTTTAGAGACAAAGTCTCACTCTGTCACTAAGGCTGGAGTACAGTGGCATGAATATAGCTCACTGCAGCCTTGAACTCCTGGGCTCAAGCCATCCTCCTACCTGATAGAGCTACAGATGCACACTACTACACCCAGCTGATTTTTAAAAATTTTTGTTTTAATTTTTTTGTAGAGACAAAGGGGTCTTGTTATGTTGCCCAGGCTGGTGTCTAACTCCTGGCCTTAAGTGATTCCCCTGTTGTGGCCCCGCAGAGTGCTAGGATTACAGGCGTGAGCCACTGCAATTGACCTATGTGGTTCTTCTGATACGAGAGACTAATTGTTGGTGCTATTGAGCACACACTGTGTGTACATCTTGTTAAACAGATTTATGGGTATGACTATGAAGACTCTAGTTCCCCAAACCACACACACAACTTTATCTACATTTGACCAGGATATTTAAACTTGACTGTAGAGTGCCAGCATGTTAAACATTGATTTTCATAAAATGATAGCTGCCCACTTTCTTGTAGATGTTACAAAACCTGCAGAGATTAAAAAATGCACACAGAAGGTTGCTTTCAGTTCCACAAGGGTAGTTTATATAACAAACAGTATTCCCCACTTTCTTAAATACCAGATCTCTGCCCAGATTTTACTTAGTTTCTTCTTTCTGCTCTCTAATATCCTGTGAATGTAATATAATTTGACCATTTAAATATACATTAAGGCACATGAGTTTTTAGCGCCCTTTGGTTTATTTTCTCTGGCCCCAGTTATCTCTAATATGCATGTTTTCATCTTAGCAGTTTTATAGTTAGAAATAGGTTTTGAATGAAGCTCAAAGGACAAAGCCAAATAAAATTCTGTCATATCTCTAATATATTGTGGTCGCTTACCCAGTAACATTTTTACGTGCTTTTCTGAATACATATAAAGTTTAAGATCTTGGAGCTTTAAGCATATAATGTTTTTCTGGGCAATTTCTTCCTATCCAAACAAAAAGGGAATTCTTTCATCAAGAGAAAAAAGATATATCAACTACAAAGTAATGATATTGATGGACTAGGCTATTAAGTTTGTCTATTTTTTTCTTATCTTACCGTTTAATATCAATTGCAGTGCCCTTTGCCCTTCCTGCAGTAGAAGATGACCTAAGATAGTGACTGACATCTGATTTTTCTGTTAATTATACCATCACTGCCATTTTCAGTGATGGTATAATTATCTTTTTGTTGGGCATCAGAAATTTTTCTTACATGAATGAAATTTAAGCTGTGGTTTCTCAAAATATTATATTAAAAATCACAACCAATTATATGCTTTTATAAGTTGTCAATATAACATATCCAGGTGGTGGAAAAATTGGTATTTGTTCAAAACTACTACATATTAGTCTTTTATATATATTCTTCTACTTTTTTGGACCCTCAAATTATTAAAAACACCTTTGAGTAGGGCCATGATTTACTTTATATCCATTTTTATACTATGTAGTAGAACAAAATTCTAATTTATTTAATACTATAATATCTACTATGTGACACATATAGTTGATCCAATTCTACTTGTAGATAAATTGAAAGAAAGCCTTAAAACAGTTCTTAGGGTTTGTGTGTGTTATTTTACTGTAAAAGTACCGTTTTCATATTGAACTAACCCCAGTATATATAAAACCTTCATTTGGCATGGTATGTGTGAGCACCAGAAATCTTTGGCAGACCCTAATACTTACAATATAGATGAGCCATGTGTTTCACACTTTTTTTTTCAACCTTTACAAATACTCTCTTGTTCATCAGATTACTTCTCCTAAGCCAAGCAGTTTCAGTGATAGACCCAGAGTAACTTTGCCCAAGTCTCTCCATAAATGTAACTTAGGACTGCAAGTGCTCTATTTTGATACTCTTGCTTCATACCAAGTAAATCTCAAGATTTATTTTAAGGGAGTGGACTTCACTGCTTAAAGTGCCTAGCATTTAAGAACAGATAAGTTTTGCAATGGTGTTCCTAAATGTTTTTTTTTTAACTTGCGTTTCTCTTGTTACTAAATGTTTTATGTTCATTTCATTTTAAGGTATATTATAATCCAAAGTATGGCTTTACTTTTAGCATAAACAGTCAAATGAAACTTAAAGATGGCATTATCAGATTTATTACCAAATATTATTTAAACTAATTTTTTAAGTTCATAAACCAAATCTAGTAGTTTCTTTTATTTTAGATTCTGGGGGTGCATGTACATGTTTCTTACTAAGATACATTGTGTTCATTGGAGTACAGTTGAACATTTCATCCAGGAAGTAAGCTTAACTTACCTAACAGGTGCTTTTTAACATGTTCCTCCCTTCCTCTAACTCTCCTCTTGTATTTCCCAGTGTCTGTTCCAATCTTTATGTCTATGTGTACCCAATGTTTAGCTCCCATTTATAAATGAGAACACGGTATTTGGTTTTCTGCATTCGTTCATTTAGGATACTGGCCACCTGTCACATCCATGTTGCTGTAAAGGACGATGGTTTCATTCTTTTTGTGGCTATATAGTATTCCATGGCATATAAATACCACATTTTCTTTATCCAATCCACTGTTGATGGGCACCTGGGTGGTTCCATGTCTTTGCTATTGCAAACCATGCTGCGATGAACATATGGGTACATGTGTCTTTTTGACAGAATGATTTATTTTTCTTTGGGTATATGCCCAGCAATAGGATTGCTAGGTTGAATCGTAGTTAAATTCTTAATTCTTTGAAAAATCTCCAGATTTCTTTCCACAGTGGCATCATTGTGGTTTTGACTTGCATTGCTCTGATGATTAACAATCATGAGCATTTTTTCATATGTTTGTTGGCTACATGTATATCTTTTTATCAGAAGTGTCTGCTCATGTCTTTTGCCCATTTTTAATGGGGTTGTTTTTGCTTAATTTATTTGTTTTGTTTAAGTGCCATATAGACTCTGGATATAGAGCTTTGTCAGATACATAGTTTGCAAATATTTTCTCCCATTTTGTAGATTATCTGTTTATTCCATTGATAGTTTTTCTGCTGTGCAGGATCTCTTTAATTTAATTAGGTACCATTGTCAATTTTTGTTTTTGTTGCAGTTGCTTTTGGGGATTAGTCACAAATTCTTTTTCCCAAGGCCAGTGTCAAGAAGGTTATTTCCTAGATTTACTTCTAGGATTTTCATAGTTTGAGGTCTTACATGTACATCATCTTTAATTCATCTTAATTTTTGTATGGCCCCAGGGAGTCCAGTTTCATTCTTCTGCACATGGATAGCCAGTTATCCCAGCACCACTTGTGGAATAGGGAGTCCTTTCCCCATGGCTTATTTTTATCAACTTTATTGAAGATTAGATGGCTGTATTAGATGTGTGTGTCTTTATTTCTGGACTCTATTCTGTACCATTGTGTGTGTGTATGTGTTATGCCAGTACCATGCTGTTTTGGTTACTGTAGTCTGTAATATAGTTTGATTGGGATAATATGATGTTGCTAGCTTTGTTGTTTTTGCTTAGGATTGCTTTAGTTATTTGGGCCTTATTTTGGTTCCATATGAATTTTAGAATGCTCTTTGCTAATTCTGTGAAAAATGACATTGTAGTTTGATAGGAATAGTGTTGAATCTATAAGATTGCTTTGGGTAGTATAACCATTTTAAAGATACT